TTACAAAATAGAGTATTATATATAAGGTCAAAACAAGATAAAGCCAGTCTACAACTAAGAATGTAAGCATTTCTTTCTAAATAACAGCAGAGTAAAAGTCACAACCTGAGTGCTCACAGTTGGAAACATTGTTTGCAAGAAGACAGTTCACTTGTTCAAGTTCCAAGACCTTGAGTTCCGCTACCATCATTATTTGGCCACAATCAGACTGCAAATGGGGCAGTGAGGACATAATAAATAATGGGGATGGAGAGGGCATTTACAAAATCTCCTTTCAAGATACGTGGAGGACATTGGCTACAGATCAAAGGATGTAAAAGCCCTTCTCGGTAAGACACCTGTAATATTAACCAAGTACTAGGTGAGGCTTCAATGTTGTTTATAGTGATGATACCAAGATGATTGTACTGCAGCGGCATCTTTACTATCATCCCTTTGAAAAAAAAAAACTTACATCTTACTTTTTTTTTTCTATTCCAAGATCTACATTCTCCCAAAAGTGGTAAGGAATACCTTGATAAGATGGATGACAAAATCTAGTTAATTGATCCCCAACTGTGTAATGGAAAAAATAGATTTTGGCAAGCAGGAATTCTTGAAGATTTTCTACTGTAGGTTCTTATAATTCCCAACAATGGAAAGTGTATTTTAATGGAGATGGAAAGTAATCTCCATCCTTAAATAAGCAGATGCCCTGGAGGAAGCCCATCTTCCTTAGGAAGTTGTTTTGGATTAAATCCAATTGGGTAATAACCAGATTCAGACTCATAGCATATGGGCTATTACCTCGCCTGGGAATATTTTCAGGGCAGGGGATATCAACTGCCCTTCTTTATGGACTGGTGAGCTTTAAGGTTTGAGAAAAAGCACACCAGGTTTTAACCATAGTTTGCTGAAGTCATGATCTGGCAGTGATAAATAGTTTTATGTATCATGCTAAGCCAAATCAGACAAAGCACATTATAACTTGGTATCGCATGGGAACCCAGCCAGTGAGCAAACACGTGTATAAAACTTTTTCTTAAAGACATTTACTGAGTTCAGATTATCCTTACCTGGTTGTTACTTCATAAGCATTTTATTACAAAAAATAATAACTGAAGTTGTGTTTTGCCTGAAATAAGATTCTAAGAGAAATACAATCATCACAAGATTCACCAACTGAATGTAAGACAGTTCAAAACGATGTTTAAGTTTCATATAAATCACAGAAAACTTGACCAAACTGAACACATCCATTTTATATAATAAACAACTTTGATTTTTGTAAAAGATGTGAGCTACTGAGTAATTGAAAGCACCTAATAAATCTATTATGGTGTATGATAATATGTCGCTAATAGTTATATATCATAATTTAAACCAAATGATCAATAAATGCTCCTTAAACATTGTTTTTATACTATTTTAATTTCCCAGTACTTTTAGTGATACTAAAAGCCACAATCATTTGTGCACTTTCTGTAATTCAACACCAAAATTGAAAGAAAAAAACAAAGTGGCCTCCCTTAGCATTTTTCTTTTTAATAGCAATTTGCTTTTTATCACTTCAGGTCTCCTATTTGAATATAAAAAAGGAAATTAAGGAGCTTCTATAGTTATATATCTCATTTATTCCTCTTCCCAAAAAAACTCAATGTCTGATATAACCCTCTGGTTCACATGGTTAAGCTTAGCCATTCTTAACCATCTTTCTAATAAACCACAACACAGTGGATGAACTCAACCAATGAGTGACACAAGGAGGATTAAAATTTTACTTGGATTTAGTAAACAATCATAAATTTATGTTTACCAGAATTCTTGAAAGAATGACCAACAGCTGGAGATGTAAAAAATAATGAGGGTTCATAGATCTATATATGATATGGTCATGTAACCAGTACTTTTTAAAATATGATATTTATACTCTGGGAAAATCTTTAAATGTTAAAGATGTTAATGTGATTTTGAATTACATATATCCACCCAGAGTCACCCTATTAGTGAGACAGGCGATAAATAAATTTAATAAACATAAAATAATTATACCAATATGTCAGAAAAAGAAATTTGGATATACCAATATTTGCAATCTGAGTGTATATGATTGCATCATGCATAGAGATTGTTAAAAGAATCATATTGAGAAATTGGAAAAATAATATTATAGAAATAATGCTTTTGGAAATATGTAATTTATCTATCTTGGAAAAGGCAATATTCTTTATTAATCAAAGGATGTAATATTTTGGCAGAGACTGTATATTTTACATTAATATTTTGCATTTGATTTTACTATAGTACCATATGTCACTACTGATCAAATCAAAGGCAGATTTTATTATTTTTTTCTCCTTTTCTTTTTGTTTTCTATCAGTTTTTAAAGTTAAGTTTATATTTTACATTTTTTTCTACATGTAAATAACTTTTTAAAAATTAAAAAAAATAATTACCAAAATTTGTAGATGTGCAGAAACAATTCTATGCTCAAAGCTTAGACTTAAAATGTGCTCAGAAGCCACTTCCAACTTCAAAGAGAGGAAGAAAACTGGAACTAGCCACACTTATTAGAGGGGTGGAGGACGTCAACACAGTGATTGTTAATTTGGAACCCTGATCATGACAGGAGACAATGTTTATACTCCAGCACATACAGGAAAGGCAATGGTGGGGTTCAGCCAGATATTATGAGGAATATAACAGAAAAGAGCATGTTGTAGGGGCACTTTGTGTCACTCGAACATTAGATAATCTTGAGATGTCATAGAATCAACCATTCAGTTTTGTAATTTGCTCAGAATAACCTAGCATATCTATTTCCTAGTAATATGCAATAACCTACACATTCAGAAAAAAGGTCTGACATAATTATGATTTTCCTAAAGTCAAAAAATAAGGAAGGCCAGAAGACCCACCTCACAATATTGATATTCTACAGATGTATCAATATATCATACTGTATGGAGATATAAATTCTCCACGAGATCCAATCCTTTACACACTTACCCTGGAATAAGCTACATTTAATGCAATATCTAATAAACACGTGCATGGATATTTTATATTACATATTAATGTACACCTGTATTAAAATACACTATAAAAGGTACAAATAATCTATATTATTAAAATAATATAAAAGGCTGCATGTGTTTAAGCCTAGCAGCACAGTGAGAAAATTTAAGACAGTTCTTTATCTTTTTTGCTGGAACCAAAAAGGAATCAATATTTATTTCAAGGAAAATACATTAGGTTGCATATACATTGTAGCTCCGACTTTTACCAGTAAAAGTGATTCAGCCATAAGCCCAGAATGTCAGCCCATTTAATTAATATAAAAAAGCAAAATGGAACAAAGTATTGCTGGACATTATTTAGCTCCATCAGGCAGCTGTAGTACAATGATCCCAGTGATTTGTCAGGAAAGACCTGATACTTCATCACTGACAAGCTGAGTAGATGTAATTTCTCCATATTTATTTCCAGCCTCTGGTTGGAAGATCACCAGAGCCTAATGAAAGAATGCAAACATGTTTAAGAGAAGCTTCCAAAACTGACTCTTTATTTTTTTAGAAATGCCTTACTTATATAAATGTTCATTATTTTTTTCAGAGAAAGGACACGTGATGCCAAAGCAGCATGCATTTGTGCATTTCAGAAAACCTACACAGACAGGGAGAGAATCATTACTAGCAGATTAACCTTTTCCTTCAAAAAGGAAGGAAATTTAACTGATATTGAGGTCTTTTCCAAGAATTAAAGGACTAGTGAATATCAATCTCTCTTCAGACATAACAGCATGTGGAGAAGTAGGAAACACCCAAGAAAAAAAGTGAGGTATAAGAGGATATGGCCATTGGATAGATAAAGAATAGTGGAGAAGAAGAGAGCTAACTCACAGAAACCCATATTAGTAGCAATTGCATACATACATACTATATAGGCAAAACCATATTTGTTCAGGTGTATTCATGCCATACATACTTCTATGCACATGAATACCCGCGGCATATGAATACCCGCGGCATATGTATGAATTGACAACAGATACAAATATGTAGAAGTAGCCTGTCCTTTTGTACAAATGACTGAAGAATAAGGGGATCCATAAAGGTTAGGAAATAAATTACCAAAATTCATCCTTAGGCATATACAGTATGCCTAAATTACCAAAATTCATCCTTAGGCATATACAGTATGAATATTATGGCAAGACAGGTGCAAATGTTAGGTATCTGGATGTATTATCCATGCACTCCAGAATTATACTCCTTCTGAAGCTCTTGCAATGTAGAAAAAATAGAGCCACACGTTCCTTATTTCTAGGAACACCCCATACTACACGCATCATCACTTCCCCCTCCCCTTTCTGTATCTTTCTTTGCACGAATGCTTCACCTCGCCTACTCACCTCTCGTCGTTCTGCCATCCCTGATCTCCCAGCAGCAAATCCCGGAACCTGTATCTTGGAGGAAGCGGAGGAACCTCACTCTCCAGGTCTACCATCCTGAAAGGGTAAAAGCACACTCCTCACAGGGTACTAACGGCAGCAGCAGTAAGAAGCAGGATAACCCGGGGATCAAAAAACGAGACTTAGCCCGTGCTTAGAGGAGGACCCAGGCTACGATGCGACTAAAGCTCTCTTGCCTTTTCGCACAAGTGAACATGCAAAATCTGTTGCACCTGCTGGCAAAGTTATTTAAAAGCTCTCCCCCTTCCTTCTTTGCAACCTCTATCGCAACAGGAGGCAGAGGAGGGAGGGGGCGCGCGCACACGCACCGCAGCCAACTAGCCAGCGTCTCCAGATGCACGCGCAGGTCTCTCAGCCTGCCGGGATCGACAACAAAGGGTTGCCTGCCGCTGTTCTTGCCATCCTTCCCCAGCCATGCAAATGTCGTTTGGAGCTGCCGCTGAGAGCTCAGCCAATTGGGATTGGCCCTCAGGAGCACAATAAGGTGACGTACCGGGAACCTCGCCTTCTCCACCAATAGCCTTTCTTCCTCATTAATATTCGGTGGCTGGAAGAAGGGTTCTCTCTCCGGCCGGAGAAGGGGCGCAGATGGGTGAATGGAGATGACCCGGAGAGCTAAGTGACAGGTGTGCCTGCCTATAAGGTGGCCCTTTGAGTGACAGGTGCGCCGTCTGTAAGGTGGCCCCTTGAGTGACAGGTGCGCCGTCTGTAAGGTGGCCCGTCCTGAACTGTGCTTAGTGCTTCGGTTTCCATTGTATAAGAAAGGCAGTGTTGCTTTCGCAGCCAGGTATTCAAACAGCAAATTGTGTGTCCCTCTTTTTCTGCTTTGCAACACATGCACGTGGGGGGGGGGGAACGGGACAGTAGAAAGGTCTATTGGCGATAGTTGACGCAACACGTTTTATCCGGGTTTAGCTTGAAGTACGGTTAACTTAACCCGAGTTTCTGGGTTTACAAGACCCATTGAAACAACCTCCGGAGGCTTAAGTTTAAAATGTTTCATTTCTAGCTCCGTGTAACGTCCGCATGCTGCGTCTTCCTCCTTTAGAGAAACTTTCCCCATTTTGGGCCCCGAAAATATATACATATACAGACAGATATCTATATATTGTATGTATATATAGACACACACACACACCTCCTTTCCCACCACTCCGACTCAATGGCTGAAGATGATGAAAGATGTGCAGAACATGCCTGAGGGCACCAGTTTGGGAAAGGCTACTGTAGACTGAGCGGAGTAAAGATTCAGCAGCCAAATAATTATGCGTGGCTCTTCGTTCAGGAGAAGGCGAGGAAGAGAACGGCTCTTCGGGGACCACCCAATAGGCCCCGTGCGGCCCTCTAGTGAGCAAACTGAGACAGTGGCTGAGCAGTATATGGAGAAGACTGGATTGGTTGCAAATCCCGGCTCTGGGCCATGCAGCTATTAATTTCTTAAATTTAAAAAGTGTTTAGTATAGTAGAATATGTGGCTCATTTCTAATCGTTTTGGGAAGTACAGATGTTTACAACCTACACTTCATTCTGCGCCCTTAATAGCAATTTGAAGTGGAACTGATTTCTTAGTTCCTCGAATCCTAATTGGTTTGAAGAGGAAAAGTTGTATTCAGATCTGTTATTTGGATAGATAGGTGGTCAGAATACTTTGTAGAGGCACCTAGTCTCTGGTGATGTTCATACTTATTACACTAACATTGATCTCATTGTAATAAATCTTTCTGATAATTTCCATAAATGTGCATATGTACCAGAAACTATTTCTGTTTTTAACCATTTTTTTAAGGATTATAAATGCCTAGAATCATAAGCGAGGCAGCCATATTAGCCTTATAAATAAGTACTATGATGCTATGAATTGTCACTGTGTTCTTATATTAAGTGATGCAGTTTAGTGCTTTGGAAAGTATTTCTGTTCCATGGTAGTCGGGGAACAAAGGCTTCAAAAATCATTTAGTTACTGAATGGCTAGGATTTCAGGAAGCGTGGCTGTCACAACTTCTATTGGATTTGTAATGAAAAAAGGTTGAAGTACAATTTTTGAACCTATTTCCCAACCACTTTCACTTCCTTCTATAATCAGGCTTTGCAGGACCTAGTGTGAATCCCCCTCCAGAAAGCAAAAAAACAAAACAAAACAAAAAAAAAAAACAGGAAGAGCACTCTGGTTAAACAGATGCTTGCACATTTTCAAAGCAGCTAGAGTCCAGGGGTCTTCAGACTAGCCCTTTTGTGACTCATGGACTTCAACTCCCAGAATTCCTCAGTCAGGCACACTGGCTGAGGAATTCTGGGAGTTGGAGTCCATGAGTCATAAAAGGGCCAAGTTTGAAGACCCCTGAACTAGATAGATCATGTATGCATGCCATATTAAATTGGAGTTGATTATTCTAGGGTTAATCCATATAATATCAGTTTGCCTTTAATATGATTCAGTGGCTTATTAATGCTATTGCAATTTTGTCCAGATTGTTGGGACCAGTTAGGTATGCTTTCATAACATAGTTTCTCGGCTGCTGCTTAGATAGTATCTGAGATAGAAAACATCTTTCACCAATTTAGGCTGCTTTAGAATTGTGCTCATATGCTGACAGAAGTAGGATTGGATTTTTTTTCTTTAAAGCACACTGTTTTTTTAAGCCATAAGTTTATAAAATTCCAGGTCTAGTTTGGTATAGTAGTTAAGGCATCAGGTTAGAAACCAGGAATACTAGTCCTGCCTGAGGCACCAAGCCAGCTGGGTGACTTTGGACCAGTCACTCTCCACCCTAGGAAGGAGGCAACGGCAAACCTCTTGCAAAATATTACCAAGAAAACTAATTCAGTGACTAATTCAGGAATCCAAGAGGCAGCACCAAAAAAAAAGTTAAGCTGTAGGCTCACATTAAAAACCAATAGAAAAACAAAACTGCTAAAAAGGAGGGCTCAGGGTTCACAGTGAATCTAACTCCCTTGTTAAATGCCAGATTTTTGAGATGTAAAAAAAAAACCCAGATCAAGATAAATCACTTCAGAATTTTTCCTCCTTTAACATATAAGCCAGTGATGGCGAAACTTTTATTGACTGAGTGCCCAAACTGCAACTCAAAACCCACTTATGCATCGTCGAGTGCCAGGTGGGTGTGGCCCATTGGGTGGGTGTGGCCCATTGGGTGGACATGATCCACTGGGTGGGTGTGGCTGCGGTGGTAACGGCAGACTGGGTGGGACTAAAAAGTTCAATCAATTCCAACTTTGCAAGATCTTTTTTTTTCCCCGCAAGAAGTTGAAATTGGCTGATTGAACTTTTTTTTTTTTCACAAGGCGGAGGCCTAAAATGAAAAGGTTTTATAAAACCCAGCTGAAGGCCTAGGACTGGGACGATGACGCACGTGCCCACAGAGAGGGTTCTGAGTGCTGCCTCTGGCACCCTTGCCATACGTTCCCCACCGCTGATATAAGCTATATAAGTCCATTGAAAAACTGAAATTGTTTAGCATATTCAGTTCAGTAGTTCTGTTAAGATTTTCTTTTTTATGTTTACTCAGTTGCCTCTTACAGAAAATGCCATAGTCTGCAAATAGCTTACAAAGCATCAAAGGGATCTCATTGTTGGAAGGTATCAGCCAAGAGAAGGGTACAAAAAAAAAATTCCAAGGCTTTGGAGATATCATGGAATATAGTGAAGACATCAACAAGTGGAAAAAATATGGCATAATAGCGACATTACCAAGCACTGGATGTCCCTCCAAATTTAATGAAAAAATAAGAAGAAAACTGGTCTGAAAGGTTGCCAAGAAGCCTACAACAACATTAAAGGAACTGTAGGAATTTCTGGCAAGCGCTGATTGTGCACTACATGTGACACAATCTTCCGTATTCTTCATACATCTGGGCTGTGGAGAAGGGTGGCAAGATGAAAGTCTTTTCTCACAAAGAAGAAGATCCCAAGCCTAGCTATATTTTGCAAAAACCTACATCAAGTCTGACAAAATCCTGTAGGAAAATGTGTTATAGTCCAATGAGACCAAGTTTGAACTTGTTGGCCATAATTCCAAAAAAGTATATTTGGCATAAAAACAACACTGCATTACCAAAAGTATACCACCCGTGAAGCGTGGCAGCGTTATGCTTTGGAGCTGCTTTTCTTCAACTGAAACTGGGGCTTTAGTCAAGCTGGAGGGAGTTACGAACAGTTCCAAATATCAATTTTTTTTTTGCACAAAACCTTCAGACCTCTGCTAAAATACTGAAGATGAATTACCCCTTTTATCATGACAACAACTCAAAGCATGCCTCCAAACCAACAAAAGAATTGCTTCTCTAGAAGAAGATCAAAGTTTTGGAATGGCCCAGTCAGAGCCTGTACCTAAGTCCAACTGAAAATCTGCAGAGTGATCCGAAGGCCTTCTTCCAACGGCCGTTTTTTAGGGCGCGAAATTGGTGGCCGCCATTTTGAATTGCCTCCCGGCGGCCATTTTGGGTGTGGCTGAAGCCCCCGGTGGCCATTTTGTATGTGGTTGAGGCCCTCGGTGGCCATTTTGTGAGTGGCGGAAGTCACTGGCGGCCATTTTGTGTGTGGCTGAAGTCACCGGCGGCCATTTTGTGTGGGGCTGAAGCCTCGGCGGCCATTTTGAGTGTGCCTGAAGTCATCGGCGGCCATTTTGTGTGTGACTGAAGCTCTCGGAGGCCCTATTGTGCGTGGCAAAAGCCCTTGGCGGCCATTTTGTGTGTGGCTGAGGCCCAGACTGCCTGGAACTTTCTTCTGAAGGCAGTATTACATCATCGGTGGCAGGATCGTCGAGAGAGCAGGTTCGACCGGGGAGGGCCTGATCGATCCTAAGTGATCAGGGTGCCCATTAACTCCCCGCCCACCCCCTTTTGGGCTGAAGTATCTCTGTAGACTCCCTTGGTGAAGTACAGCGCTGAGGGGGGGCGTTTTGCCAAGGTTGAGACCAGAGCAACTCATCATGGCAGAGAAAGGCAGCGAGCCGGCCAAGAGGAGTCGCCAATCAGAGGCAAGTGGTAAGAGCACCACCAAGCGAGCCCGGCCAAGCAGGGAGCCACAGAGGGAGGAAGGGTGCCAAAGACTGAGAGCGGCCTCCCCAGATCTGACAGGCACGATGGGAAGGTCTATATTTGAGCCCCTTTCTTCGCACAGTGCCTCAGCCCCAGGGGCCTGGTCTCCCCCCAGGGGAATTCCTGAGTCAGATTCAAACCTAACAGTGGCTTCAGGGAGGGGTATAACCGGTCAGGACACCTCAGGGCCCCAGGCCACATTCACTCCCACTGCAGCAGGACTTCGCCCTCCTGAGAACCAGGCCCTGAACCCGAACCTCCTCCAGTCCATGATAGCCTAGGCTGTGGCTCAATTTATGGCCTCCAACACCCCACAGCCCCCCCACAGGCCACACATCATTCACAATCTCTGGATTGGATGGATGATCCCGCATCGGATTTGGAATCTACAGGAGCTGAACAAGCTGGCCTAATTTTGTCTGAGGACGAGGGCATCGCCCCATCCGAACCCAACCCTCCTGTCGGTCTCTTTGACCATTCCTTCTTCAATTCCCTGCTTCTCAAGGCCTGCACCACTGCAAACCTCGCCCAAGAACAGGAGAACCCACCAACATCCCAGGGTCCCCAT